GCGGCTGGCCTGGGAACGCCTCGGCATGCCCCCGGAGGAGCTGGAGGAAGTGTCTGGAGAGAGGGAAGTCTGGGCTTCTTTGCTTAGACTGCTGCCCCCGCGACCCGGTCCCGGATAAGCAGAGGAAAATGGATGGATGGATGGATTAATAAGCAGATGAATGCCATCAATCTTGTTCAAATAAACAGGGAGAGGGAAAAGAGGCGCATGTCTTAGAGAAAGGGTCTTATCATGGCAGTTTAGAGCGAGCATGTCAAACAAATTCAGAGAATTATACAAATAATCAACAGACACGCTGACACAAACTAGCTGCGTACTGATTCAAGGTAGCATGTTCTCACCCTGACAAACCACAGCCGCTGTGGGAGCAAACACTAAATCAGTAACTACGTCACAAGTCACTAATTTCTAAATGTATTACTCAAGCAGCCAGTCAAAGATGTGCATTTGTCACCAGGTTTTGGTTATGACTCCAATGAGATGCAATGTGTTTATTTAGAGAAAAAAAAATTATCAAGTGATTAATTGGCTGAAGGTTTACATTTCCATCGTCCATGTTATCACCATTGATCAACCAGAACCTGTATGAGTAATTATTTAGTGAAACAAGCTGTAAAACATATCTAAACTAATAGAGTCCAAGTCTAACTGGGAGTTCAGCTGTTCTACATACAACAAGAGATATCAGTACATGAAGGAGAACTGCTGAATGTGTAATTCTAAATGACATTTAAAGCAAGTGTTTATTAGAAATAAATGTACTCACAGTGTTGTGTCCAGCCGCAGCCGAAAGCCGAGCTTATCAAACTCTATAAAAGAGAAAGACAGACACAGAAATAAACAATTACCACACATCTACAAAAAGAAGGACAGAAACATTGCATAACTGGGATCATTAGCACCGGCCACCCAATCTACATGCTTTCAACTATCAGCTCATTGGCTGTAGTTGGAAACACTCGGTGCACCTTTCACAGAAAAATGGCAAATGCATTAGAACATGTGACCAAACAAGCAAAGTTAGGGAGAAGCCAGCCAAAACAAATCTGTTGAGTTTAAAATAAAGTTAGGAAGTTAAGAGATCACCTATGGACAACCAAAGGGGCAGCCAATAGGTGCCTGGAGAAGCATTGGGACAGCAGACAGAGAAGCTGACAAAACTAGGAGGTAAATACTGTATCTTGAATGATGTCATCAAAATATGTGCTGCAATCTTTTCTTTTTTTATAATGGTGCAAACAGGGGCTATAAAAACACTTCACCTTAATTTCTGTCTATAACATAATTGTATTATCATGACAGAGGACTAGGTTTAAATTAAGCATTAGTTGAAAACAGGAAACACGCAGTATTACTCCTGTTGTTGCGGATCTCGTCTTCACAGAGAAGCTGGAGGAAAAAGATAAAGAAAAGGACAATGGGAATGCACGATGGTTGGTTAGGGAAAAATCCAAGCACTGCCTTGAAGGATGGGGACTTTGCCACAGAAGCCAAGATGAGTGAGTGTGAGCGTTTGTGTGCGCATTATGTTTCTGCTGAGAAGCATAAGGCAGCCACAGGGCTGAGTTGAGGGGAACAGCTTGGGAGAAATTAAAGTGGCGGGGTCCTACCAGTGAGACAAATGTTACCTTACAGAATTATGAACCAAAACTCCTGCAGACACCTTCACTTGCCATTCCTTTGTTACTGAGCCATGACAATAGAGGGCAGTGTTGAATCACACTGCAGCTTTATGTAGAGCACAATGCATGAGCAGATGTTCATCTCCTCACTAGTTACCATGTGTAAATAAATTCTATTTGTTTTACTTTCCCCGTTAATAACACATCAATTTCACAAAGGTGGAATGACTATGTTTTGCAAATGCTACTTGCATCCCAAACTAAACGTGGCTGTGGAAGTACTGCAGGGTTTTCGAAAGTCATTTGATTTTAAAGGGCAGAAGGACAACAAGGATGAGTGGGGCTTTTTCTGGTGGGGCTGCAAATGTACCTGAGCCACCTTTTGTTCCCACGTTGTCTGTTACCACCTCTGAAACACAAAAGTGTCAGTTAGCACCGTTTGAGGTCGGTCTGTTATGGCAGCACTGGACTTAAAATAAAGCCAAGAAAATAAAGCCAGCTGCAAATGTCAGACATTACATGGCAAAAAGAAGACAAGGACAAGGAAGATTAGTAGCTTTAATCCCACTAACTTGAATTCTAATTCCAAACCTCGATCTTTATTCAAAGAAGAAAAGCCCAGTGAAGTGGAAAATTAACCACAGAAAGCTCCCACGGTGTTTTTGTGATTATTAAGGCAGTGATATTTTGGGAGTTACCCACAAGGATGGAATGACTGAATGAACATTTTTCATAATAAAACAAATATAAAGATGATGATAGGTAGATGAACATAGAGAACATCCACTGAGTTAGCAGAGATTCTTATACCATAGGAAAAAACCCTCAAAAGCCAAAAAAAAAAACAAAATCAAACAAACAGCATCAACACGTGCTTCATTAACAGTCCCCCAGTATACAGGAGCAGAGTCGCAGTGCCTCTACCTGTAATTCTTTTCACTTCAGGACCTTTAGTCGGGACTCTGTCTCGTGAAACAATATCTGTAAACAAAAGGGGGTTAAGACACTGAAATAAGATCATCATTACTACAGAGACCAAAGTACTCTGAATATATAAAAATGTTTTCAACATCAGCTTCAGCATGGCACAAACAGTGGCTGCACAAAAACAAAAGATGCACACAAACAAGGGATGTACACAGAGACATAAAAGACACCATATGTATCAGAGGGTTAATGCTGATCCTCCTGAGTGTCTACCATAAGTTTCATTCACAGACTAACAAAAAAGCAAGAACTGTAAAAAGATGCGTTAACAGCAGGACTGACTTGACTTAATCTGAACATGCTTAAAGCCATGTTTATTATGATTAGATTTGGGAACTACTGTACCTTTCTATTTCCCCTTTCAGTGATTATTATTTGTTTATCCAAATAGATAAAGACTGATGACCTTAAATTAACACTATTAGCTTCAAACAAAACCCCACATAGGTTGCAGAGGAAAAAAAAGCCACTTCTATCAAAATAAACAGAGGACAGCTGCAGTGTCATTTCACCAAAATGCTGATGATTAAGCACAACACAACTACAAAGCCGTCATCAAAACAGACCAAGAATAACAAGCTCTTGTGACACAAAGAAAAATATTCTACAGATGTAGAAAATGTATCTGTTTATAATATGTTGCGAGCACAACGCAGGGCTTCTGGGAGATCAGATTCCCCATTTAGTAATCTTCAAACTGTGTTCCACTTGAAACTTTATAGGCATATCACTACCACTCTACAGACAGGGAGGCAATCTGCGATGCTCAAAACCAAGCTAGGGTCAAGGATACTAAGTGCAGCTGCTGCTTTTACTGCTAAAGAAGTACTGAAAATGACAGATCATATCAATTATAGTTATGAGAGCTGAATGTAAAAACAATCTTAAAAATCTACTTCTGAAAGCCATAAACAGAGTCACTATTAGGAAGCAACTGGATTTATGCCATTACACCATTTTTACAAGCTACTTCGGTGTTTTTATTAGTAAAAGTAGTTTAAGTGAAATGAAATGGGATTACAATTTATGGCTTATTTGCTACTGTAAATAGAAAACATATATTATCAGCATGGCTGGTAGCACACATTTTTTCACCCTGTGCAATGTGTTAATTTCAAGTGTATTTTAGCACCCTAAGGTGATGTTCCTGTTAATAGCAGCAAGTCAAATCAAATATAAGCAAATATGCTACTAGGAAGCTCTGATTTAGAAGAAGGTTGTCTGTAACTGCACTGTACACAACAGCTCTCACAAAATTAAAGATGATATCTCAAACAAGCATGGTGTTTTTTTTAACATTAGGCATGGGCAGAGCCAGAGGGTGATCAGATTCAGATTGGCCACTGCTGGTGCCACCCCTGCCAGAGTAAAACATGATGCTTGTCAGTATTAATGAATGAAAAATAAAAAACTATGAAACATTGCTGCCTCACATACAACTAACATTTCCCTGGTACTTTATAACTGATATTGGATAAATTGGTTTTATTTTAAAATCATGCATTCATTTCTCTGATTGTGTTGTTGTGAAGTACTTTGCATGATTCACCTTGGTGGGAGGGGACCACCGTGCTGCAGCGATGTTCCTGGCCAGTAGTAAATAAGGATCACAGCCAAAGTTAGGTAAAGAAAACACTGTGTGCATGCCGTTTACACAAAATAAACCATTTTATTCTTAATAATGTAGAGCTTATTATTTAATAGAAGTAGGGGTTTAAATGAACTTTTTACATGTATTTCAAATGTGCCACCCCTCTCTGAGTCTGGGCACCAGTCTGGCCACCCTGTCCAAAATTTTCTAAATCCATCCCTAATGTCAGGACAGACTCAAAATTCTCCGCCCAAAAAAGTCATGCTGTTGATTTCTTGTATAAAACCAGTTAACAACAGTACACAGTTATTTCGGGCAGCATGGTGAGGCAGCAGTTAGTGCTGTCACCTCACAGCAAGAAGGTTCTGGGTTTTCCCGGCCTTTCTGTGTGGAGTTTGCATTTTTTTCCCTGTGCCTGTGTGGGTTCTCTCCTGGTACTCCAGCTTCCTCCCACAGTCCAAAGACATGCAGCTTGCGTTGACTAGCAACTCTACATTGCCCGTGTGGGTGTGTGTGGTGGTATGTCTCTGAGTGTCAGCCCTATGAGCCTGGCGACCTGTCCGGGGTGTACCCCACCTCTCACCCAATGTCAACTGGGATTGCTCCAGTCACCCCCCTGACCCTATTCACGATAACCGCTATAGATAATGGATGGATACAGTTCTTTCTCTTATTCCATCAATTGACAACAAACAAAAACTGTTGAGCTTAAAAGGTTCATTACTGGTCTTAAAAATTATAGTTTAGCAAAAATAATTGTTCTTGCATTATCTCACAGACTTCATCAGTGGATGGAGTTCACACAGACATATACAGTACCACAGACCACATGCCAACTGTTATCAAGTGACCAAAATTCCATAATGCGGTCATATGATAATGAGTGAATCCATTTGCAGCTAACAGCCATGAAATGTGTCTGAAAGCTCAGAAAATGCCCAGTGAGTGGATGCAGCCCTTATGTGGTCAGTCATTGTGACTGTGTGATTTCTGCAATTTTAAACCTTTATCTGGAGCCTTTTAATCTTCACAGCTTTTAGTCAATGTCAATACAGCCAAACACAGAACATGCTCAACAGTTATTCCTGCCCCGCTACAGTGGAAAAAGTTAATAAAATCATTTACTTCATACTCACAACATGACTACAGGTCAGGCAGCAATGGCTGTACTATAATCAGTTATGCTGACAATTACAACCAGTGACTGCAGAAAGAGCTGGAGGTGACAGGAAGTTTGTTTCATTAACAACCCGAGTAATTCTCTGTGCAGGCACACATCATTGCATGACTTGGACAGCTGCATTAATTAAAAGAGAGCACTAAATAGCCTGTTACAGCAAAGATACAGCATGACTTTATCTTATCAATTTTGGTTTCATAGATGAACAATCCAGAAAAAAACAAACAACTTCAGATACAAGTGGCAGTTAACAGACAGAGCAATTCTTGACCATGATAACTGAGCATTACAGGTGCAGCTACAGTGAGAACTGCATTAGGCAGGAAAAAGAAAGGACACAGATAAAATGAACAATGGGCCCTCATCGCTAGTCATCCATGAGTCAAACATCCACTCCACCTGAAAAAGGAATTACAACATTCATATGAACCTGCTCTGAAAGTGACACAAAAAAGACAGCATAAAATAAATGACCACAGGAGACGCTGCCTCTGGCTGCTGGTTGACGTCAACGACACAGGAACAGAATTCAGCACTTATCAATAATTACGGGTACTATTACACCAAGAAGTCAGGATAAATCAGGAACCAGGGTGAAGGAGAAGAACAGGATATGGCACAAACCTCCTGGATGTGGTGACCATCTGGAGGAACTGTACACAGCAAGCAAGCCAGCTGCTGCCAACGTGTCCACTGTTAAAAGCACTAGACACATACACACATTTTCTACAGGAAACAGCTTGTCAGGGCAAGGGCTTTCTGAAAATACAACCAACACAGAATCAAAGGCTTCGGTATTAATAAGGCATTGCCGGTCAATGTTAAGTACCCAGATTTTCACTGAATACCCCAGTGCATCTCAAAACATGCTTTCTATTGCAAGAAGACACAATTAAAAAAAAAATCACTACAGATAAGCACACACTAGCACTATTTAACAATGAATGCGTAGCAGCAAGCTACAGCTACAAAACAACTACAGGGAAGCTCTGAATGATGTATAGGCTGAGCAGGGTATAGGCCTCTCTATGCTCTATTGGTCCCTGGAGCAGCACCAGAAGTCAAGAATGAGGAAGAGAGATTATTCAGACCTGATCCTCTCAGTGAGACAGCATAGCTTAGCTGACCAGGGCGAAGGGCAGCAGAGACCATCCACATGCTCATTTTTCCCTTTTGACCCTGTTTAAGCCAGACATCTGGCCCCACAGTACTGCAGAGAGCCAATATTTTGCACTGCACTCAAAGCTCCTCTCCTTGTTGTGCTGTTGAACCAAGTATTGAGGGGAAAAAAATAAGCCCAGATCTTTTTGCTTTCTTCACATCAAAGGGTATCGTGCAGTTAATCAAATAAACTGACTGCATATTATTTCAATCCCATGCAGGTGACAGTACAAGGATGAAAGCGTTTGACATCAGACAGAGAGCTTTAGAATAATGAAAGCTAATGCTGAATTTTGAGCAAATGCAAAGTGATGCAACAGAAAACCAGTCTGTTTAAAAAAAAAAAAATGTGATATGGACCCCAGGCAAGGTCATTTGTTGACTGGGTATTCTGTTAGTGATACAACACAGAAGGACAAAACTTTAATTTAGCAAACCAGGTTCTGAGGACTCATTTTTGTCAGGCAGTGTGTCACGGCCACCACACAGTGCACAGACTAGCACAGTACATTACATACTGCAAAGGGCAGAGACATGTCAGGCTCAGCAGTAGATATTTTGAAATGCTGACTGAGAACCTGCATACTCATGGAACCAGGGACGGGTTAAAACAACACCAGGCATGTTAAGAAATGAAGCAGTAGAGCCTGGACCAGAGCAACCTGACATTGCCTATTTTGCCATGAAATAAACAAACATTGGTAGCAAGTGACACATTGACCACAATCACAATACATAAAATTACTCAAGCTGGTTTTGTGTTTAAGCCTTGACGCAGGCATCTGTTACAGTGCAGTTCCATGTTCAAATGTAACACAATGCTTTGTCGGACAGACAGCCAACCCCTGCACTACCAGCTCCTGACACAAAATACCCAAGAAATCTGAAGCCCCGTTTCTCCTCACAGTGAAAGTAAGAAAGTAAGCATTCTCAGTTATCTCGCTTTCTAAGTGGTGAATGTCAAGTTCTTTAATGCTTTATTGTTTATCTCAGTGACTTGTACATTAAAGGTGATAGTTAAAGATCTGAAAGGAGCTTATAATATTCCTTTGGACAATGGTGCTGGCATCAACATGTCATTCTGAGTCATCATATTGTCGACCAGAAAAATAATCCTCCTATTTAAAATCAATGCTGCACGTGACTGTATTTCTGCTTCACATATGCTGCAGTTGAGAAAAAGTGGATTTGACAGCAAAGGATGTGTTACTCTTTCAGAATAAGGTTAGGCTTATGGTTAAAAGAAAAAAAGTCTCAACTCCAGTTGAATAGTAAAACTTTACATTACAGCCAATATCAAGGACATAATACAAGGGACCTAAGCATTTCCCCTCACGCTTTACACGTTAGGCAGCGTGTTGTCCCTCCAGCCAAGTTCTCAATCTAGTTCAAAATGCACATTTGTGTTTTCTGTGCTCCCTGTGAATGTTTCCCTAGAAAATATTCTCTGTAGGAGGCACAGGCGAGTTTGACATTCTTTACAGAGAAATCTTCTAGCCCCCTCTGCTGGATTTGAACAGCTGTTTTGGGTCACCCACAGAGTGTGACATAATTTTACTCATCCTCCATCATCAGTTTATACAAGCTGGTTCTGATCACATATTTTATCTCAAGAAGTATTCTGTACTGAGCCGAAGAGTGACAGTGTACAAATGTACTGTAGGTTCCTCATCACTATCTTTTTATAAGATCAGGATTATTCAATCACTAGGAAAAGGCAGTGAGTCATAACCAACACCCGTATACAGTACACCGAGAGTATTAAGTAAAAACTGAACCTCATGCACTGTCATGGTGCTAAAGGGTGTTGTGAAACTGCACTAGTAGTTTTCCATGTTAGGATTTCAACATCTAAATGTGGAAATCTCAGCATGGAATTTCCTCGTCTACAAAAGGTAATGAGAAATTAAATAGGCTGTATAAGAGAGTCAGATCAAGCTTTCATCTCTTGGTTAACACAGGTTTTCTCACTTTAGCCCAGGTAGGGTATGTGTCAATAGATAGCTAAGTATGAGTCAGCCCCCACAGCTGCACCCACTGGTTTTAAATAGCAGAGATAGAGCAACTAATGCAGGATGTACAAAAGGAAGTGATTACACTCTCCCCACAACATCCACCGCTCTGCTGAAGTTAATGAAAAACTAATTTAATATCAGACACAGACTGACTTTGCCAAACCAGTACACAGCTTGACATGCCAACAGGCAAACTGGGAGAACATAAAATAAAATCAAAAATAGAGATTGAAATGAAGAGGAGTAGCTGGCAGACAGCACAGAGAGCAACGCAATGTCACACAAACTTGGTCAATAAAAACAAATAAAACATGTTAGGTTTTAAAAGTACTTTCATATGACAGATGGACGATCAGGTGATAAATTAATGCTATAAACAGTCAGACTGGAGGTGTCACTTACGAGGCTGCGGACCCCATATGTTTACACGTAGCTTCCAGGAGGCGTAGAAAATAAAGGTCAGGACCAGTGTGGTGCATAGGATGAACAGCAGCTTGTGTTTGGGTTTCATGGTCTTCAGTCATTCACATGGCAACATCCAGGTCATCACCTGAAATGACAAGAGGGGAGAGGGATGCTGCATTTACACATTCCTACTGAGAAACTCATCTGCAGCATAAACACAAAACTGACAAAACCAACACGGTGATAACGTACAGTAGCTGTTTCCACAAAGGAACTCAGGACAATGTCTGCTGAATCAGATCTGGGCTTTGTCAAGAGTTGCTCTTTCACACATATAGCACACAATGGCGGACAGTCCATATCAGACGGAAATACTCTGGTTTATGCACCCTGGCACAGCACGCAAGGGGCAGGACATTACACGGTCATGCAGTCAGATTGTAATTTGGTCATAAACAACCAAGTCTCTTGCCGTACCTTAAAACCTCTTATCAGTTGTTCAAGTGTGTGTGAGGCAGGTTAATTGCATTTAACTGAGAAGTGAGACTGACAAAGAAGTGACTTCTTAATCACTTTTAACCAAATTAACCAACCGCAGGGTTTACCAACATTTTGTTATGAAGCTGTCACACTTTCTGTAGCAGCAAGGGTGTGGCTTCCTTAAACTAGTGACAGCCTTACTGTTGGACTTATGTAACGAACACTTGAACAACTGATAAGAGACTAGCCGTCATCACTACTCGGTGTCTTTTCTGCTTTTTTACCCAAGTAAAAGATTACCAGATTATACACATATTTAACCAGCAAAACAAATCGTGCCACACACACCGAGTCATGTCCAGTCTTGATATCATCTGACAACAGACAAGACAACCCATTAGTTGTCTCTGTGGCCTGGTGTCCATTTGGAACACACGCTGCCAATTATCCTGAGCCCTCTACCATCTAATGGACTGCAAACCCAGCACCATACAATATCTTTCAACCACACACATAGCCCTTATCTCAGCACAATCTGCAGCTTTCATTAAAGACATGACCTGCACAAAATTTCTCAGATATGACATTTAAAATTTCATCTGGGGCATCTCTTTTCCATTGTGAGATCTGCTTGAGGCAATTGCAAATGAGTTAATACAGAGCTTTAGCACAGGAAGGCCTCTGAGCAGTGCTGAGCTCAGATAAGACTGTAATACCACACCAGAAGCTTGCGTTTGAAAGAGCAGTTTATACCCCACCAGGTAACAGATGCTTCCCCCTCACTTAAAAATGTATTGTCTTAATACTTCATGATTTATCTACCATTAGATGCAACTTATTAAACTATTTAACAGGATAAAACTGCTAATAAATACTCGAAAGTTACCTAACAAGCAGCTATTATTGAACAGGTTTGGGAAAACAGGAATTCAAATGATACCTGTTGTACTCGGCATTTGCTGTACAGTATACAAACATGTCCAGTCCAAAGATTCAGTTTACTGCTCCTACAGATATGGCATTTCTGGACCATGAGCAACATAACATTATCCAGCTACAATTGTTACAATCTGACTATGTTCGTAACAAGAAAGGGGCCAACCATCTACTTCCCCAGCCCCACAGTAGCCTACAGTGGTTTGATCAACCTCACCACCGTGTAACTGTTATTTTTTTATGCATGGGGACAAACGCATTGTATTTCAGTTTAGAGCATGGAGCACATATTTCTTTACGAACCCAACCCATGCCCGATGCAGCTGAGTTTGCACTGTATCTTTACCCTTCTCATTACACAGACAGGCATTTGAGTGCCCTACAGTGTCCTCCTGCAACCCATCTAGATCAGTGGTCCCCAACCCCCGGGCCGCGGACCGGTACCGGTCCGTGGATCAATTGGTACCGGGCCGCACAAGAAATCATTAATTATTTCCGTTTTATTTATTATCTGAGTCTGAACAATCTTTTATTTTGAAAAATGACTGTATTCTCTCGGTTACACCTCGGTCACTTGAGCGCCAAAACTGGCTTACTTGTGCGACATATTCAGCCTGCTCAATGAACTCAATCTGTCACTTCAGGGGAAAATGACAACTGTCTTCAAGTTGGCAGATAAAGTAGCTGCATTTAAAGCCAAACTGGATTTGTGGGGACGGCGC